CGTCGCCATGGCAACGGGATTACAGGCGGAGAGCGCTGTTTATTCTCAGTCGAGTGCCAGGAAATTCGGCCCGGAGGCTGCCAGGCGCACCGCCCTGGGGTGGGGGGCGGGAGAGGGCGGGGAGAGGGTGGGTCGGGCCGCCCTGCTCGTGGGGGAGGAGGAAGGCAGGCATTCGTCATTTGGGGTGACTGACCCTCCGAGGGGAGGTGGCCTAGGAACCCTTGACTCGCCTTTACCGCCTTACCTGCCGGGAGTGGATCCAGCTTTCCTGTCCCAGGGGCCGAGGTGCCCCTTCAGGCCGGCAGGGCCCCCCACCCCAAGCACGTGCACTATGTCCAGGGCTCCTGCCCTTGGGGCCCCCACCACTCGGTCATTCATCCACTCACTCATTCATTCATCCACTCACTCATTCATTCATTCACTCACTCATTCACTCAACAAATACCTATTGAACACATCCTATGTGCCAGGTACTGTTTCAGTGTCGAACAGGCCAAGGCTGTGCCCGTGAGGTTTGGCTCTAGGCGAGGGACAAGACAGCAAAGTGGTAAACACGTAAATAAGTACAGACTGTTGTTCCTGCCACAAGAAGCTGGAAGCTGCGTCTTCACCTCGCGCACACACACCATCACATTGCACGTCCATGAGCTCAGCTTACCCTCAGGTCGGGCCACCAGCTTGTCCTGAAAGTCTGGCGAACCGGGACAGTTGGTCAAGGGACACTCATGTCAGAACGAGTCTGTTTTAGAGATGGAGAACGTGAAGCCCTGAAGTGCTGGGGCTAGTTAGGGAGAGAGAGCCAAGGGCCTATGGAAACCCTGACCTAGAATTTAGGGCTCTTTCTGCTAAACCCTTTTCACCCTCCGAGCCCCCAGCCTCCTGGCGACCCCGTGTGTGTGTCAGAGTAGACCTGTGCTCCACCGGGTTTTCACTGGCTGATTTTTCAGAAGTGGATCACCGGACCTTTCTTCTGAGGCGCTTCTGGGGGGACTCAAACCTCCAACCTGTCAGTTAGCAGCTGAGCAACAGCAACCAACCGGTAACCATTTGCACCTCCCAGGGACCCCAGGGCCCTCCAGAGTGTGGATGAAATTTCTGATTCTGGGATGCTGCCCCCAGCTCTTCTGAATGGAAGCCCTGAGGATAGCGGGGTGGGGGTGTTTGAATGATCAAACCCCTCCCGAGGTGAGTCTGAGACCACTTGCTGCCGCCTTCAGGGAAGACAAGCTCAGCTTCTCCTCTTCCTGGGACAGGGAAATCCCTCCTGGAACCTTGACTAAGCCAGAGCTGGGAATCAGCAGGGTGGGAAGGCCTGGAGCTAACCGCCCGCTCAGCGGCAGGCTCAGACAAGTGCGGCCACTGGGCCTGGGCCCCAGGACATGAGGACGGGGGAGGGGGACCCCTCCCCCGGCGCTGAGCCCTCCCAGCTGTGCTGTGCTGGGAACAGGCCAGGCGTTTGTGAAATCCCGAGCGAGCCTGACCCGTCATGGGGCCTGCCTGTGGGAGCTGGCGTGGGGAGGGGTGGGGGGCTGTTCCCAGAAGCGGGTAGAACTCTGGACTTCCCACTCCGGAGTGCTCGGATTGCAGCGCTGCCTTGAGCAACAGCCGCAGCCTGGAAGGCTGATGGCGGAGAGAACCAGAGGCCGGGGCTCGTCTGGAAAGAAGCCAGGGCTCTGGGTACTAAAACCCATACACTGCTCTTGTTGATACCGGCCCCGCTGCTCTTCGCTCTTCAAGGCATCCGAAGGCGGCTAACCTCCCAGACCGAAAAAACAGAGTACACGATCATTAGCCACACTGCACAAGAAACGCAGCATTTCCTCTCTCCACTTCCCTCCCCCAAATCTCAAATATTAGAATCTTTTCACATAGAAAACCTTAATTACTTAGTATCTATAATGTACAGGGTGTAGGATGATGTTGCTCAGTTAGCTGCAGTCCGGTCCACTCGACCCCCTGACTCATGGCGACCCCGTGTGTTACAGACAGCAGCCGCTCTCTCCATCCACGCGGTTTTCTTGGCTGAGCCCTT